TTGTAGGACGCAGCCTCATCACGAGGAACACTTGCAATATTTTCAAGGAAAAAAAGCTGTACAAATAAAAACTATTTTCTTAACATTTATTCACCTACTTTCTACCTGTGGCTAATCCACTGGCTTCATGGCAATTTAGCCATTCTAATGGCTTCGTCTGGAAAATTTTCTTCATTCTAAAAGCTGAAAATCGATTGTATTCATTTTCAGGCGTTATTTCATTTGTCTTTTCCTGCCTCTGTCAGCTGGGTCAACATCACATGCTTCAGCTTTGTAGCTCTGAAGATTATCTGCTGTCACGTAATATTGTAATGTTAAAATCAACTATCGCAAAATCAAACGGCGAAAATTCAAAAATATATAAAACATTTGCGCTTCTAATACACAGAGTGTTGGAGAAACGGTAGCTGCAAGCTTTATTTGCTTAAATCTTGATTCTAAATGATGAAAAAAAAATTATTACGCCAAATGATATTAATCTTTAAAAAAATGAAAATTGTTTGATAGTTTCCTAATTAGGAAGCAAAAGAAGTACGGTTGGAGTCTACAAAATGTTATCTTATTTACTTTTCTTATATTTTCCAACATTTTTATTGCTGATTTTCGCCCCCTTTCAAATCGATTATAACAGATATGTTAAAATTTTTCTTAAATTAAGGTAGGAAATTTTCTGAAAATGATTTTATATTGTTGGTGGACAGGCAATGTAAAAAATAGATCTAAATTTTTATATGGTCTCCTAGAAGCAAAAACGACAATTATAATCAAATTCCATTCATTTGGAATACAGATTACCGGATACTTATATTCGCATAACATATATCTAAATAATTATCCGAATTGTTTACTGTTTCTAACTAATTAAAATACGGATGGTGTTAACACATTTTTAAAAGATATTATGGGCCTTTAAGTAATATTTAAAATGCAAATCTTTACTTTTTATAAGTTGGTCTGATGGTTTTATCAGAATTGTAAATCCGCATCGTGCTTTCCACTATTGATGGGCTTTTCATAAAAAGACAAAGGGTATTATTTTATATTCCTCTTTAATTATACAGTCCTCTTTAAGAACTAACTCTACTATTGCTGTTTTCCAGAATTCATAAATTTCAGTACGTTTGTGTTTACAAAGAATTCTTTTCAGCAAGCCAAACGCAGAGTAATCCATGGGTGAAATGTAGGAATAATCAAAAAAGTTAATACATATTGTAAGATTTATCCTACGTTTTTAGCAGTCATGTTTAGTTAAAGCTACTTTCCCGTCCCTTCTAATTTCAGCTTACAATTTTCTACCAGAATGTGTTTTTAGAATCGTGGTTAATGTAAATGAATAAGAGTGGTATTTAAGTCGAAGTTCGATTGACTTCGTTAGATAGCCAGAGTTTCTGACTAGCACGCGTTTGCCTTTTTTAAGCAGTTATAGTTTAAAATAAAAATTAAAAATGTTGTTCCACAAAGGATAATAAAACTCTAAAAACTGGCTGATGTCAGGCTGAAAGAAAAGCTAATTAAAGATTTCATGTTTTCTTTTCTGGCAATACGTACTAGTCAATATGGATGATAAATGGTATGGAAATATAACATAACGAACAGCTGAAAAAATTACAGACTTCGCTAAAGATGTTTCAACGTAGAAAATCGTGTTAACTAATTAATCACTGCCTTAAAGCAAGAAATAGTTTATTTCGTTCCGTTAGGCTTAATGAATGAAGTACATACGGAATTGGTGTTAAGCGAGGTTTTCTCGTACATCGAAAATTAAAATTTTTAATTGGTAGTAAAATTTATTTCAACTATGCTTAAGATTTAAAATTCTTTAAAACTCTCTCTCTTCTATTTAACCTTTCTGAATGAGTATTATGGGCAGTGTTTGTTATGTAATAATCGATTTTATGTAAGCAGTTGTTTCTATTGACAGAAGAATAACATGCGCAGAGAACGAGCACAGTTCTCTTATACAAGTTACGGTTAGGTTCTTTTATAGACTGAATTTTTGTGTAAGATCTATAAAAAGGTCTCTAGCTGCAAAAAGCTAAAACAAAAACTTTAAATTCCTCTGTAACATAAACTACGTAACATTTTCAACGTGAAAGCTCTTCAGTACTTCCTAACCAGCTGGGTTCTACTTATTCAGCTAAAAAGGACAGATATTATTATTTTTTATTTTTTACAAGAATGTATTCTGGCAACAAAGAAGGGAATAAATATTCCTTTCGTCCCAGATGGCGCTCTTTAGAAAATGCGGCGCTTGCAAATTCGCCGTTCCATGAATTTTTAACCATGATATCTTTATTCCTGTTATTTAGTTCTCCGCTGAGTGGCGCATTTGTTTACTCGAAAGTTTTTCGGGTCGCGACTTTGTTTTAATAGGCGTCGTTTTTTTGGACAATGACACTTCCTCGTTTATTTTAATGGTTATTCTTCAAAATTTTCCTTTGTTTTCCTTGGAAAAGGTATAAGAAAACAATGAGTATTTTTCTAAGATAAAATGTATTTTGAGAATAGGATGTATGTGCTTTTGTTATGCATGCATCTCATTTAAAAATCCATTTTATCACGAATTTATATTCAATGGCGCTTGGCACGGATAAGGTTGGATTATATATCGAGATTATATATATATATACAATCGAATCTCGATTTAAATTATCGGATTTAATAATTTTCTCGATTTGCTGTTACAACACGTTACGCTACCATACGCAAACTAGCTAGAATTGCCATTGAACGAGGTATAAGATCTTTACTTTAGCTATCAGGTGGACTGTCAAATATCCAGTTTCTGAAATGTTATCGTTCGAAATGACGGAAGGAATTTTAATTGCCTTTCAAATTATAACTTTTTAATCATCCGAGTGATAATTAAAGGAAGATATAGTTCAAAATAGTTTATATTATTTTTTAAAATATTTTTGACTTTAGAAGCAATTTTTCTTGATTCCTAATGTTTTCAAAATTTTAATATTTCAGCTTTTTCACGTTTTATTACTGTTTTTCAAAAGATAGCGCTACATCTGTTTTCGCTTCGGTTAATCCATTCATTTCTTCTTTCAGATCTAGACCGATATCAAAATCTAGAGCAGAACTTTGAATATCTCCTGTGTTTGATGGATTCGTAGAATATTGGGGGGGGGGGGAGTCTTGTCCCGAAATTGTAAAAAGTCGCTCTCCGGTGCCTGTCATGGCTGATAACCAGTTTTCATGTCTAACTAACATTTTTTCCGAAAATGTGTTACTAAAAGATTTTTTTTTTTTTTTCTTTGAGAACATACAGACTCCCCGTGCACCACATGTGTACAACACGGGGCTCACAGAAGTAAGTTAACTAGAACGTTAAAGGTTACATGTATAAATAAACATTAAAAATTACATGCATAAATAAAGCGAACAAAAGCAGAGAACATCAGTCTGGACTTCACGAAAACAGATAAATTCACTGGCCAAGTCACTCCGAACAGTTTCAAATCGTTCTGTAAGCATAATCTAGGGCCATCAAATGTAGGGCACTAGAAAATCAAATGTTCCACATCCTGAGGAACTCTTTTTGAACATTCACATAAATTGTTTGATCGTAGATTAAAACGAAACAGGTAAATTGCAAATTTACCTTGACCAGATGAAAACTGAGACATAGAATAGAAGGAATAGAAGAATAGAAGGAAGGAACTTTTTGGTGACTTCAGCATTACAAGATGAAATGTATTCCTCATTCCACATAGCTAAAAGCTATTTATAATGAAAGGACTTTCAATAACCCTTTGGAATGCTAATGTTGATATCAATGGGTAAATTTAAGGCATCTTTAGCTAAGAAATCAGCTCTTTCATTTCCGTAGAAACCATGATGAGCACGCACATAAGCAAAGCAGAAATCAATACCTCTAATTCTAAGTGAACTAACAGTTACTAGGGTTTCGATAACTAATTTCTGGGAAATTCTTTGTCATTATAGCAACAATTGTATCACTCAAACTAGAAGTAACACTGCCATCCGGGAGTTTAATTCCCGAAATCTCAATCCTTTTCGCAAAATTGGTCTTAACCCCATACTTATATATAGATTTCCACACATTGTGAACAGTAATAGTTGAGAGAAAATTTCTCCACGACTCAAGCTCAGCATTAGCTAATTTAGCCTTGTACTTATGCCACACATTCTAAATATTTAATTTTTATAAATATTTTTAAGAGACAGTTTCTTTCTCTCTGGAATCTACGCCTAGCAGCATTTACATGCTTTCTATAACAATCAATATCCTTAGACCACCAAGGGACCCCCCATTCTTCTTACTTTTCTTCATCGGAATTGAAAGTAAAGCACAATTAAAAAACAACGGTAGAAAGTCTGTTTACAATATTTTCTAATGCAATACAATCAGAGCAAATGTTAAGAAGGATATTCAAGTTACACAATTCTCTCTTACAAAGTTTAGTAAATAAAAACCAGTTCGCTCTTTTTAAATTAAAAGTACACAAATTAGAAGATATAATCGGACGGCATAAAACAAGTTCAAAGATAACTCGAGCCTTGCGTGGAACAGAAAGTAGGTCCGCGATTTTCATTAAGTAGAAACAAATGATTCGCACTAATAAAATCACTAAGTTTCGTTCCTCTAGCATCAGTAATAGGTCTATGCCAAATGGCTGATTTGCTATTCGAATCCATACCACATAAAAAATTGCATGGTTTCTTCATCGTTAAAATTTGTGAAATTTTTAATAGTTCTATGTCAATATTAGTTTGGGGCTCGAAATAAGCGGAACAAATAGTCAAGTCAGATCCATTGAATTTTATATCTAAAACAACAGTATTATAAACTGTATGATTTAAGTCCAAAAAAGGAGAAAGTTTCTGGTTGCGAACAATAACAGCAGACTTGACAACTTCTGCTTCGGAATCATAGTAAACTTTATATTTTTTTGGAAAGCCAGGAAGAAACACCTTTATAAAATGGCGGCTCCTGAATCAGTGTGACATCAGTGTCAATTGCCTCCATATATAAAATAAGTTGCTGAGTCGCAAGTTTTGATTTGTGCAAATTTATTTGTACAAAAGAAACAGACAAATTGGCGGAATTACCCATAATAAATTTTTGAAGCTGCAAGATTCATCATAAATGTATGGCTGGGGCAAGTTCCAGAAAATGGCTTATGATTTACATCAACTTTCTTAGTTGCATTTTTCGTCTTTTTATTAAATATTATGCAATTAATACACACTTGCACTTCTTTTTTATCACATTCTGAACTCTTATGCTCACCAGAGCAGCAATAACAAGCCAAGGGACTTCTGCAATCAAGGTTTCTGTGGTAGCCTAAACATTTAAAACATCTATTTAAAACAACAAAATCTTCAGTTTTACACATATTCCACATCACTTTAATACGCCCAAAATTTAAAATACGCTTGCGCACAGCAGGATGCACCTCAATAACAACGCTTCTCTCACGTTGAAACTTTTTTAAAGTAAAGCGAACTTTAACGTCTTTCCAAGTCTCTTCACTCACGGTAATTTCAGGATTTTGTTCTTCAAAAATTTTTAACAGTTCATCATTACTAATGCTGTTTGGCACATTTTTAAGTAAAACTGTAGGATATTTTCGTCTTGGAATAGTGGGAATCAAAATAGATGAGTCTTCCTTCAAAGCAGTAAACAGTTTTTCTTTATCATATCCCGAAGCACATTTCACCATTACTTTATTGTTATGAACTGTTTGAATATTGCTAATTCCAATTTTATGTTTCCCAGGGTTGATTTCAGCTTTAAGGAGCTTTTTAACTTTTTAAACAGTTTTGGGCACTCACAAAAACACAGCAATCTGAATCATTCTGATTTGTCCCAACAGATGGCGCCACAGCATTAGCATACGATTTCGTTTGCACGACTTGAATTTAAGCTTTTCTTTACAAGCTTCACGAAAATTTACAGATTTAACATGCTCAACATACCTAATAATCAAACTTTTAATCTCACCCAAAGCTTTCTTCGCATCATCACGAATCTGCGGATTCATATTGCATTTCGATACGATGGCTGATTCCACCTTTTGAAGCTCATTGTCCAGAGCTGCATATAGCTAGTCACCACCACAATCCGCCATGTTGGCGAAAGCCACTAAAAGAACTAAAAGTCAGAACTAAAAGCCACTAAAAGTCAGTTTTCAAACTGAGTAAAAGAATTTGCCTTCGTGAAATATAGAGCTGGATTTACCATCTAACAATATAAGCACTTGTTTAGAGCATCAAGGAAAGAGGGCATCTTAAAAAAGTTCTTAAGTATTCAGAAAAAGGGGTCACCAAAAATATCCCATTTTCGGATTTACCATGATGCAGGTAATCAAAATCGAGAAAAAGAAAGAATGAAGAAAAAAACTGGCGCAAAACAGGTGTGGGGAAGAAAGCACCAAAATCTTTTAAGTGATTAGGGCTTATAAAGGCTTTAAATCTGGTCTTGGTGAAATAATGTATACAGCATCTAGTTAAGTAAAACATTCGATCCAGTTAAGTTGTAATCTTGGACTAAAGTAACGGTGCTAAATTATATGTTTTTAGAAACTGATTGGTTTTTATTTATAAATTTTAGTTTAAATGGATAGGTTTGTATATGAAAATTTTAATTAAATGCAAACTTTATATATTTATGTTCTAGTTTTGTTTAATGCAGCTACTTCTTTTTTTGGTAGATATCCCCACCCCCCCCCCAAAAAAAAAAAAAACAGAAAGGTGTTAATATAAATCCTCATTCGCGAAATTTCTCCCCAAAATATAAGTGCCGACCTACGCTAAGAAAATTTTGCGGATTTCCTTTGCATGCCTAGCGAATGCTCTGCAATTATTTTTAATCCTGTAATAAAATTTTACCTTAACTTTAATTTAATATAAAAATTAAAATTAAACGCTCTGTGTACGTATTATCCCATCTGTTGTGAAAATGTAGCTAAGCAGCATGATTTATCGCCAATTATGCACATGCGGCACATAACAATTGTTACGAATTTTGTATAATGCAACATGAACGGCCTAAGAAATAGCAAGCTGCTTTGCCTGAAAAATAAAAGTACAGATAATGTGTGTGTGATTATGGCAAAGCCTCAAGGGGCTATCTGCTTAAGGGGAGGGATGCCTTCGTGGAGGACTTTCTAAGGGAAACTGGCTCGTATACACGTTACACATGGGGAAAACCACGAAAACGCCCATGCAGCCAGCCCGCTCGCGGGATTCGAACCTCGGACCGAACTACCAGTGTTCAGCGACTTTACCGCTCGGCCGCTGGTGGGCCTCGCTAAAAAAGTACAGAGGCAAGTCTATTTAACTTTGAGTAAATGGATACCTCGCTAAACTGGCGAGATATCAGCGATATAAATCTATAAATTGTTGAGATATGGCGACGGTTTTGGTGACTAATTTTCGTCACCAAATTTAGCCAGAAAAGTCGCCAATCTTGGCGCTAAATTCTCGACATTTTGGTCCCGTCCCGTAATTAGTACTGTAATTTAAAAAGTATGATTGATCTCTCTATGTAATTCTAACCATATCCGACCCTTGTATGTGACTTTAACCGTATTTGCCATAAAATAATTTCGAGAAGTGGAAGGTTCTGGAAATCCTACGGTGGACGGGGAAAACCTATATAAGACGGACAGAGAATTAGTTCTCAGTTTTCAGTTCGTATTGAGTTCGAAGTATTGCGATATCTCCCTGAGAGCATCGCTGTTTAGATACACTTTGCACTGCGTTGCGTTTGGTAACTGCTGATTGTGCTCTGGCACACTGAGAAGAGCTGTATGAATGTTTTTGCGGAAAGACCAATTATGTGTTTCTTTTAAAAAATAACGTTTATCAACCTATCATCGTTTCTGTGTGCATATAATCCATTATGAAGCTGCGCGCACGCAACCATTTTTGGCGTCAGAAGAATGCTGGTAATAAAGCGATGGATGGGCAAATAAGATAGATTGTGACAGCATTTCTAAGAAGAGATGAAAAGAACAATCAGGTCTTTAAAGAAGAGGTGATAGGAAGAAGTGAAAGCAAGCCAAAAACATATGAAAAAAGTCGCCAACTCTGTTACAGAATACATGAAAAGATTGGAGAAGGTCAAGAGAAAATGAAAAGAGAAATTACTGTCATAATAGGGAAAAAAAAAAAAAAAAAAAAAAAGGAAGACTATAGCTAGCTTTAATTAACATCTCTCCAACAGAAGCCCACGAAAACAATTCAGGATTTTGCCACTGATGTTGAAAGGCTGTTTCATTTCTTATTTTCGGACTGCCCAACAGAAACAAAGAAAATCCTGTCCCTGCTATACTTCACTCGATGACATCCGGAATCCTAAGATACAGAAAGCCCTGCGAATGGCGGATGTCAAGGATGTAAAAAGCGCTTTAGTGCACATCACAAAATACGTGGCAACCTAGCAGTAACCCGTACAGAACGCACCTAATCAGAGATGCTCAAGTCCAGGAGCTAGTGGATCAAATGACTGCTGATCAAGGAGATTTAACCAGACGAGTCAATGCCTTGATGAGAAATAGGAGTGGCAACGAACCGACTGCGAAATAGGAGTGCAACAAACCGACTGCGAAATAGGAGTGCAACAAACCGACTCTAAAGTGCTGGAAATGCGGTGGCGAATGTCATGTACGAAAGAGCTGCGGAACATCCTAAGGCATGGGAGCTAAGGCCGCTCGTAACAAAAAAGAAAGGGGTATCTCGTGGAATGAAGTTGCCAGACATTAAAAAGCCCCACTTAAAAACGCTTCAGATTTCTGTAATAAGTGGCGGAATGGACTCTTCGACATGGCACATCATCACAATGGAATTCCTTGCAAGATGACCATGATACAGGGGCCAGTCTTATGATCATCCGAAAAGAACTGGCGCAACAAATGGAAAACGCGCTCATCTGGACACCGCCCTGAGTTACCGCTTCCCAGATCGGATTATATTTTCAAAGAAATATAATTTTTCCTTGGACTTTAAAAATAACAAACTGCATTCTGCCTCTGAGGACGTAGCTTTTCAGAATTAAAGATAAAGGAGCTAAATCCATCCACCAAATAATAACTCAAGATATATCACATTACCAGCAAACCAGCAAAAGGAAAAATTTTACGACCTGGATCCATACCTGAAAACAGAAATGTCTGGTACGGCATAATGGAATATCCTAAGAACTGTAACAGCTCGAAAGAAGTACTAGTAGCCTCGGCTAAAAGTTGTTGTGGACAACAACAACAACAACAAAAGAAAAAAAAAAGTGAAGACGTATTTAACAAAGTGAAGAAGGCTATAACATCTGCAACAATCCTGACGTATCCTCAGGTAGAAAAACCCTTTATTTTTGTCACGATGCGAGCAATTTGAATGTCTATGCTCTTTTGTCCCAAGAAATAAACGGTCGAGAACGTTTCGTAGCGTGTTGGAGCAAGTATCTATTTAAATCGGAGAGGAATTACTGTGTTATCAGAAAAGAGTTGCTCACTATAATTAAAGCTGTAGAGCACTTCCATCATTATCTCTACGGAAAAAAATCTTGCTCCGAATAGATCATGCATTGTTGACTTGGCTCTTCAATTTCAAGAACCCCGGGCTTCCTCAAAGAATTATATAACAGGCCGACAGAAGGCCACTTCGAGAGTGAACTACTGAGCATAGAAAAAAAGCGAAACGACACCTTTACATTCATAGTCAGACGGCATGGTAGAGAAGTTTAATTCAACCATCTTTAATAATCTCTCACTATTTGGGTTCCAGAAATGAACAGGATTGGAATTAGAAGTTACCTCTGTTCTTACCGGCGTATTGCAGTGCTGGCCACGAGACTATTGGCTCGTCTGCCCCATAGTCTGTTGTTTAGTCGCGTTAAGGATGCGCCTTCATCGCCAGGGGAGTACATTCAAGATACAATACGAGAGCTACAGGACATCGATTCCACAAAGGTGACAAGGTGTGGTTATAGATCTGAGTCGTTGCAAAGGACTTTTTCCTAAACGCCAGTCATCCTGGGGTATTCCTACACATTCCCAACAGGCTGAAAGACCTCTTAGTTTGGATCCGTGAGTCATCAAATTCTAAGTCGTTCTTTTCGACTACTCCTTACTATGGCCATAGTACGTAGTCCCCACCGTCTGTATAACGTGAATAGTATATTTAGACCATGTTTTGTTTTTTATATAAATTTGTAAATTCATTCATTTTTATGTTAATTTAGTATTTGATTTTTTGTATGTTATTTATTCAATTATTATTTTAGTGTTGCATTGATATTTCTTACTTAAAACTATGGCTTCCTGTCCAGGGATTGTACTGCCAGGAACTTGTAGTCCTTGCGAAGGAGACAATGTTACGAATTTTGCATAATGCAACATGAACGGCCTCAAGAAATTTTGCCGGAAAAATAAGATTACAGGGTTAAATCTCTTTAACATTATATAAATGGTTATCTCGATTAATTGGCAATGGCTTTGGAGATTAATTTTATAGCCAAATTTAAAGAGAAACTGCCAAATGTCACCAAACTTGGCGACATTCTGGTGCGGTCTCGGTATAACTGTCATTGGTACAGCTACTGAATAACTGTTATTGATCCCTACATGTAACTGTAATTGTATCTGCCCTTATATGTAACTTTAACCGTATATGCATTTCAGTAATTTCGAAAAATGGAAGGCACTGGAAATTTCTCGGCGGCCAGCGAAAGCTATATAAGACTGGAGAGAGCATCAGTTCTCAGGTTTTAGTCAGAATTGAGTTTGGAGAATTGCGAGATGTCTATGCGAGTTTCGCTGTTTAGATACGCTTTGGATTGCGTTGTGTTTAACATTCTCTGTAGTTTG